AACTTGGACAATAAATGACTGTGGTTCGATATTTATTGTAGAAAATAATGTTCGAAGTTCCGTAGTATTCGAAATAAGAGAAGAATCTATAATAATTAATATTAAGTTATTAATATTGTTTAATATTTCTTTTTGAAGAGCATTTCATAAAATAATATCAATCATGAAAGTAACTTAAGGTATTTTTTCAAGATCTGGTGCAAATCAAAATAATTTTTCCAGCTTTGTGACATAAGATTTTTTATATTTCTTGTTATTTGAATATTGTAAGACTATCTAGCAAATAAAAAATTAATACTACTACTACTATAGCAATATATATGTAAGATATAATATTTTAAAATAAAAAACTTGCTTGGTTTGGCAATAATTCATATGTGTTTATTTTAACTATTGAATCCAAAAACAATGAATCTTGACTTTCAAACAATTTAAGTCCATAAATATTATAAAGTTCTATAATCATATTTACATTAGTTTACTATAGACGTTATTTAAAAAGCAAAGAAAATCATTTATAAATAACCTGAATCAATTGCGTGAATATCTATAGACATTGATGGTCACTCGCATTGTATGTGACATTATCAATATAAATTGTAATTTCCATGTTTTTCAGGCCTTCATTAGAACTTGTTGAAAAGAATATATCACCATCAGTTTTAAAATATCCATCATACTTTGATGTGATGCTCAATACGGGCTGTCCTATGTATTGAGTGCATGCTTTATTATCTTCACATGTACTATTATTGTCTTGTTTATTCAAGAACAGCTTTTAAGTAATTATACGGTTTAAGTACAGGTAGAGATGGGCAAATCACAGTTTTGCCAAAAATCTCGCGCGGAATCCGCACGGGATTCGCAGATTGTTACCAAGTTTATCGTAAGTTTCGGCTGGAATTATGGCATTGGCCCGAATTATCCCGTGCATCACGTGATGAATCCTGCGCGGAATCCCGCGCTTGCCCATCAATAAGTACAGGTAAACTACTGACTAGGGATGGACTCGTACCCATTGATTGGATATGTACCTGGAGTATTTTTTTGTATTTTTTTTCATTTCGTTTTGCCAATTTTCTAAATTATTTACACATAGTGTGTTTCTCAAGACATAGAAGTACCGCTTTTGTTGATTATAATTCGTATATTACCAGTGCATAAGAGAACTTACGCTTTCAAATATCCACCGGGTACAAATCATGAATCAACAGTTTACGGCAAATATACGATTTAAATAAATTATAGTTGCCAGCATATGTGAAATAACAATTAAAATAACATTTTTTGGGAATATTTGAAAACATTAACACTTAAATTTGTTAAGAAAATTCGTAAGCAAGGTTATTAACTTGTTAATCACTAAATCTTCGTAACAAAATCTTAGAATTTACCTGGAACGGGAAATGAACTTTCTTCAATAAAAGAGCTTTGGATAGCTGGATGATCATTGTAAATATCCAAAATCAATAATATAAAATATCCAACTAGAATAACGTCATTACAATAATTCGTAATGAAAAGACTGACATAGGTTCACTCGTACGATCGTTCCGAAATATTTTATGCAAATTTTTGTAACGCCATGCAGATGTTGTAATATCTCCGTCAGGTTACCATCTCCTGCTTCATCATGAACACTATTTATCTGTTTTCCTTATTTGGAGGTAGTCTAAAACTATGCAGTTTTTAATTTAATAAATTTGTAAAATAAAAATCACGTTACAGATGTAAATTACCTGGCCTTAGGCGATCCCCTTATGAGGTGCTAATTATATGCATCCTAGCGGTAGGACTACGGGGCTAAAATAATTAAAAATCCAAATTGTTTTTAATAGATCACGGCGTATGCTGCCCCTAGTACTACTAGAGATCTAAATAAGGTCTCCATGATTTGTATGAAGTTTGAACCATTGTATTACTAACTTGCATTATAGAATATAGCATTATGTACGTGCTAGGAAATAATATTTTCAAAAAATGAATATTTATAAACAATTGGTTTGTTAAAAACGAAAAATCAACTATTATTTGAATATACATTATGAAAAAGATGATTTTTGAAAATTTATTTCAAAAGTATCGCAAGACCGACGCAACTTCATTATTTGTGTTGAAAAGTTTTGTGTCAATATTACTTTTGATATCTGTATTGGGATATACTTGGATAATAATTTGGGGAATTTACAATGACAATCCTGTCGTTCAGAATTCTTTGAAAGAAGAAAATTACATGCCTATTCCAGGTAACTTTAATTTTAGCATTAATTAAAAGACGGATCAGATTATTAAATTTTTTGATTTTTGTAGCTGTTGACATTGAAATATTTCAAACTATCTATAAGACAAATATAAGTACGAAAATTAGTTGCAATTTTGTAAATGCTAGTAAGTATTATATGTTAAAATCTCAAATTCTTTGCTATGCTCTAAATTAAACGATACTTGCTTACTAGGTGGTATTCACGACTGTAACCGATATATAAAGTCTACCAATAAACGTAAAACTGATTTAATAGCTAGCAGAACTTTTTTGGCTAGAGATTTAATGTTTTCCGCAGTACCTAATAATGGAATAAGTTCTTTGGAATTTAAGATTTACTTGAACGATACTAGTTATAATATAAGCAATAGGTTAGCACCATTTACAATACCATATATTATTACCAATGTATATGATAGAGGTTAGTATATCATTTTTATCTTATAAACGAGTGTTGCCAAGTAACAATCAGGAAGTCTAAAAATAGATTATTATAAAACTTATAATTATTTACTTTTAGACTTCCTAGTTTTTACTTGGCGACACTCAAATAAAATTTATATTTTTTCGAGAATTATAAGTTACTTAAAGCGGCTTTTTATTCTTGGTAGAAAAATAATTAACAGCATATAACGTAATATTTTCTACTTAAATAGATTATCGAAATTTAAATAACTCATATCCATTTAAAGATCAATATTCAACATATTCAAAGTTTTATAACACAATTTTTACCTTAAATACATACGCATTTCAAGAACTCAGTGTAAATATTCATAATATTTGGTTAATGATATGATTCATACTATAACAATTTGAATTGAATGAAATTCAGGCAAATATAAAATGAATTACTGTACCTAATGCGAATAGAATAGTATGAGTCACGATTCTTTAAGTTGTAAACTTCAATAACTAATTTATGTTTTATAACTTTTATTTACTTTTTAGCAGTCTTATAAATTAAAAATAAAAAGAAAAAGAAAAGAACTTATGCTACCGAGCTGGGAAAATTATATAGGATTTTCGTCTAAACTTGAAAGTATACCGTATTTTACATCAAAATTGGGTATATTATTATTATTCAATAATTATTCGCTAAAAATGATGTTAAATTAACATTAATTTTTATAATATTCATAAGAATCATCTCCACTCTTAAATAATATCGAAAATCCAACAATATTGCCTGCAAAATTAATAATTGAACCGCAGTCGTTTATTACTCAAGTTGAAACTGATAAAAGGTTTATATTAAGTTTGTTGAATCGGGGTTTAATTTATAAATAATTGACAAATCATTTAATTTATTATATAATTCATTTTGACTTTTTGAAAAAGAACCAAAACTGTAAGTATTTAAATTTATCCATGCCATTTAAATTAAAAATAACAGTTATACAAATAATTTAGGTCTTGAATTCACTTGGTTTAATTGGAGGTGCATGGGGATTTGCTGCAACAATTTATGCAATTCTTTTTGGCAAGTTTTATATTGTTACTATATCTATATTAAATAACAATTATAACTAACATTAATTGTTATGATTAGGCACTAATGCTATTAAACCATGGGGACTGACGCAAAAATACGGGTTTAAAATAAATAAATCAGTACAAACAAAGTTAAAAAACACTTTAGAATTTATTCCACTTGTTAATCATCCGAAAACTTCTAATAATTTAAATACTCATGAATTGAAAAGAAGACTTGATTCGTTGCAAATATTTCTAACAGAATATGTTGTTGATGTACATTATTTGGAAAAAATTTATAAAGCTAATATAAATGAAAAAGGTAATTAACATAGTGCTTAAATTCAACTTTTGCATTGTTATAAAAACCTTTATTTAAACTTATATATTTGTTGAGGCCCACCTAAAATTGTTTATAATTAGATAATTATTGATCAATAAAACTCTAGTAGTTAAATAAATATCGAATACCAGGAACGTAGTATGAAGTACAAAGTGTATGGTTTACGGAAGAGTTAAATGGTGTACCCTTTTCGTATCTGATTGGATGATCCACTACAGGTAAAAATAACCTGTGAAGTAAATTAGTTATATTATGTTAATGATTTAAAAAATACAAATTTGCTATTTATTATTGTGGCTTTTAAGCCTATAATATGTACTTTAAAATTTATTCTTGTTTTTACCAGTTCCGCTTGTATAGTTGATCTGTCAATTACGTATATATCTTATAAATTTTATATTTTAAAATTTATTCGTACCAGTGTGAACTTTCCATTTTGCTTTAGCTGATTTCGGTTTAACTTGATTTTGATAAACGAGACTTGATATTATATTGTTTGCTTTATTGATATTGTAAAATTTTGAGTTCTTTATACTGTATCTGGAAGGTTATAAAAAATCAGCTGTATAATGCACAAAAAAGACTTAACGACTGAATTATTAAGTTCGTGAAATAGTTGTTTTAAAATTATTTTTTCATTAAATAAGATGTGTATATCTATTATTAAGTATTTTTTAAGTAAAAAAAAGTTTATGAATCTAATCTTTATCAACGTATTTCCAAATGACATGATTAATGATGTAAATCGATACTGAACACATGCAACTTATTATTGTGAACTTTCGGAAAACTGTGATTCGCTCGCTCCACAATCCAAAATCTCGCGTAACCAACGATAGGTAACCTTACGAAAGAGGGGTGTTAGATTTTGTTGGTGGGTGATTAAAGCTTTTGGTTGCTTGGGTCGGTAAGGTCTGGTATTGCGTCAAAATATTTACTTTCACGTGACAGTGTTTAAAAATCTTTAAATTCGTTTAAGTTAGGGTTAGCGTTTATAATGGGGCTTGGTTTTAGAAGAATAATAGTAAAATCACTCGAGGAATTTTTTTTATTAGAGCGCAAAAGGTGGTTTCTTATGCAAGTTTTGAGAAATAAGCGATTTTCAGTTTGTTTTGATCTTTCCGATCATGTAACGTTGCATTAAAACGAGACTCTCTATTGGATGATCATCACGTGAAAGTGAAAATTTGACAGGTAGTTGGTCAGGTGGGTTTGGATTATGGATGTAAACTTAATTAAATTTAATTGCTAAAATAATTTTATTTTTCGAAAATATTATTGTTTTGATAATTATAAAGATTACGGTATATCATAATTAAATTTAGAATTATTAAAGCGAAAATTATATAAATTACATAAAATTACATAATTTAACAAAATTATTATATGATCAGTTTAAACAATGGTATTGATTGCGATAGTGATTAAAATTATGCTGTAATAAATATCTTCAATTTTATGATTGATGAATCGACTTCTACAAATTTATCTTCAAAGATGTCAAACCAGTTAACTCAATCCGATACATGTTCAGTGGAACAAAATAAAACATTGAAATGAAAAAGTGTAGGTCGACCAAGGGAAAAGATTTGGGATTATTATATTGCAAGCAATGTTGTTGGTGACTGTAGTGCAACTTGTCATTATTGTTCAAAGTATTGGAGTTGTGGATGCCCTGGAGAAATGGAAGCCCATCTTGCGAATATCTGTCCTGATGTTCCTATAGATATAAAAACATATTGGCAAGAATCGCTTTCAATCAAAATTATTAATTATAAGTGAATGAAAAGTTCAAATCAAAGACAATTAAATCAACATAACTTGTCACAATATGAGCAAAATGAAATCAACAAAGTTATTTTAAAAGCTTGGATCATGACAGGCTCTTCATTTAATATTATTAATAATCCATTTATAATTGATTTATTCAAGCATCTTAATTTGTCATATAATTTATCTAGTCGAATAACACTTTCTAATAAGTTATTAGAACAGGAAGTTGCAAGAATTAATCTTAAGATTGATACTGAATTAAAAAAATGTAATTTTTTAACACTTGCTCTTGATGGATGGTCATTATCAACTGGAAATTCAATCTATAATTACATAGTTTCAACCACAGATTGGCATGAATATCTTATTGTACTTAAAGATTATTCAAAATTTCACAAACAGGGATCTTTATTGCAAATGAAATTGAAAATATTATAATTAATATAGGAGTAAATAAATTTGCTAGAATCGTAACTGATGGAGGTAGTAATGTTAGAGTTGCATGACAAATAATTAATCAAAAATATCTACATATTTTAAACATTCAATATGCAGCACATTCTTTAAATCTAATTGCTACAGATTTAGTAAAAATTAAACCTATTGGAAAGTTAATTTCTCAAAGTAATGAGATTATAGAATTTTTTAATAAAAGTCATCATGCAAATGTTATTTTAAGGGAAGGATTGATAAACTTACAAATTAAGAGTGATACTTTAAAATTGTATAGTAAAACACATTGGTGTTTACTTTGGAATACATCAGATTCTTTACTACGTGCTCACCCAATATTTGACTGGGTATTTTAATTTATAATTATTGATATTATTTATGTATATATTAATATATAATATATAACTTTTATTATTTATATACTATAGATTAAACATGAACATTCCATTGTACTAACTAATGAAAATGTATTGAATTACATCGAAGATGAAACATTATTTCAATTGTGCAAAATAGTGTCTGAGATCTTTAAGTCAATTAAAGAAACCATTAATCTTATAGAATCAAAAACTGCAACAATGGCTAATTGTTATATTGAATACATAAAATTAGCAATTGCAATTAGTTGAATATCTAATGAAAATATTCTTAAAAATAATGTTATTACTATTTTTAATCATAGATATAAGGAATTCAATTCTGATATATATTTACTTAAGTATTTTTTGCATCTTGGTTACCATGGCTTAGGATTAAAAACAGGAACATTCAGATGAATTTGTGAAGTTGCTGCTAATTGTTAGAAAGTTCTGGGAAATGATGAGTATTCATGCTCAAATTTATTAGCTGATCTTAGGAAATATAAACAAAATGAAGATCTCTTTGATATGGAATATAAAAAAGAAAGTGAAAAACCTCTTAATTAGTGACTTACATTTGATGATGATAATCAACCCTTAGTTAAACTTGCAACTAAACTATTTTCAATAATGCCCTCTCAAGCTGGATGCAAAAGGAACTTTTCTACATTAGGGTGGATTTATGAAGATAATCAATATAGGCTTGATATTCATAATGTTGAGTCAATGGCAAAAATTCGATCTTATTATTTAACAAATATTAAAAAAGAATTGGTTCATTATGGAAAAGATTTAACTCAACAGGAACTAACAAATTCAGTAAATGAGACTGTAATTTCAGATATTGACGAATTTTTACTCTATTCAAATCAAGAACTTTTATCGCCGAATACTCAGGAACTTTCACCAACAAACATTCAAAAACTTTCATCCTTAAACATTCAAGAATTTCTACTATCAAACCTTCAAGGACTTTCTCTATCAAACGATCAAGAAATTGCTTCACCAGAAGTTATTGAACAAACTGATACTCTTACGATTTCGGAAGTTATCAATATTACAAATTTATCAATCGAAACTGACGGTCAATTGAAAGTTAATAGGTCACATGGAGGTAATATAAAAAATTCAAATTCGTTTAATTATAGTACAGATGATTTAATAACTAGGATGTTCGAAGCAAATAGTGAATTAGAGTTGCAATTAGATTAGTAATGTGGCGTGAATTAGAGCTGCAATTAGATTAGTAATGTGGCACAAAACTTTATTATATAAAGAATTTATTGCTATCGTTGTGGAGTATTAGCGGTATAATATAATAAATATAATGATAAAATTATTTATCATATTTTACAATACATTTAGCATAAATAATGCAATAATTATTTTTCGTTTTTTGCAATAAATCTAGTAATTAAATATATTAAAAAATTATTGTTTTGTGATTTTTGATTTTATAATACCAAATAATTTTAATTAAGTTTACATCCCTAGTTTGGATCAAACAGAATCCCAAAAGGTTATAATTCTGACAAAAACAATCCCAAAGAATAAAAATTTTGACAATTAAAACTCTGATCAAAATATCATAGACCATGACAAACCCTATTTTAACTCTTGTCTAAAGTGACCTAACCCTAAAATTAATTAAATTAAAGAGTCTATTTCGCTTTAAACATATCTCATATTTGGATTTTCAATTGCCGAGATTTTTTTGTCGGGATTCTGGATTTTGACCTACACCCGTACTGGGCATATTACCCACGCATATATGTTCAATTATATATCTCTCCTAATTGTATCTGGAAATTGTGTATTGTTTAGTACATTATAGTAATAATAATGTTGTTGTTCTTATTTTATTTACAAAATCTAACACCATAATATACCAATCTAGTACACATTCTCACACTCCTGGTTTCGTGCAACTGCGTTGCGCAGCTACTTATTAGTAATCTTATGTGCCCTACCTCGCGCTTAAGTGTCGTAACCAACCTCTCTAAGTTATGTCATTTAAATAACTTTAAAGATCATAGAGAGGCTTTTAAGATGACTCACTTGCATTTCTCTTATGACATAATAATTCTCAATGACCCTTGGCCGAGCTTATTGTCATTATTATTTAAGCCTTCAAACTTGTTTCTTGAGACGCAATCAACTTTAATTTCGAAGATATTAAATTTTGCCCGTTACAATAGTTAGGGCAATATATGTCGATCATTAGGTGCGGATTTTGCTATGGTTGGTATCCGCGGATAATTTATAGGTGTCGCACTAATAGTAAAAAATGAAAATTTTAAGTACATTTTTTAGCAAACTGCTTTATTAATATAAATCATACAAAAGATAAATTGTCCATATAAGCTTGGGCTACAATCAAATAGAGAGATTTTTTTAGACAATAATATCTTATAATTTAAAAAATATATTTGAAAATATGTTGTTGTTAATATATCAATTATTGTAAATAAAATTTAAATTTGCAATTTTAAAAAGAAAATGGTTTTAGTTGATTAATGAGAATCCTATTATTTGTATGCTAAAAAAAAACTATAATTATTAGTCCCATTTTCTCAAAAAATGCTCCTTTGTAAATAAATATATATATGACTATAATTAATATTTATTATAACTAAGATCAAAAATTTAATACGTACATAGTTAACTCAAGCATCATTTAAATAATATAATACCAATAAATTTTTCGTAACCATAAATTTATATAGTGAAATCGGTCGAAACGGCGAGTCAGTCGCTCCACAATCCAAAACCTCGTGTAACCTACGGTTGGCTTAGTCGAAAA